GTAGAAAGCAAAAAAGGGAAGCAAGAAAATATTTACAAATAAATCAACCATTAAAAAAAAATCTAGAATATCATGAAAGTTAGAGCGTTAATGATATACTTTTTTTTTATATGAGAGTCTAAAAAAGACTGTTAAGAGACCAAATAGAGTCTGAATGTAGAAACTAGCATCACAAAGGCCAAGCAAATGGACAAAATGCATCAATGGCATGATTAGATTGAAAAAAAACTGACCTGATCCAAAACAGCATGGGGCTTTTAATTATGCAGTTAATAACAGTTTATTACATGTATCTCATTATTTCTGCGCTACTACACATACATGTACACTGTTTATCGTCATTATAATAGCCGAGACTCGGCCTACATGTCAATGGTCAAACCGAGACTCGGCCAAAATGGTCAAGCTGCTATGAGGCGTTTCTAAAGAACAAAGACCTACGGTATACTGATCTGTTTACGTATAATTAAATAAATCAATATTTAATTATCACCTTAGTATTACAGAAACCAAACCTTAAATTAACTTTAAACTTACATGTAGTTCTCTACTTCATCTCTATGTTACGAAACAAAATTTGTTAATAATCACAACTTAAATGCACAAAGTGAAACCTTCATGTGTAAATGTATAAACAAAAAATCCCCTTGCGTGTTTCGAATGAATAGTATTATTTTGGGATATTTTTACAAGAACTACATGCATACCGGTACTTTACGTATTATCATTATTATGTTTAATTTTAATTGGTATCAAAATGAGTTTTTTATGGCAATCAGCAGAAAAAGGATACATTGATACTCATCAATATTGGTTTGACAAGTCATTAAGTTCCTGTTTCTCTGCTATGACTAGTTGTGAAACTCTTCACCTTTCTTTAGAGATGACCATGACAATATGAGTAGTATGGTGGCCCTGAAGGGACATCGCGAATAGACTAAATCGTGAAAAATATGCGATAAAATTCACGATATCGTCAATTTTATCGCATATTTTTCACGAAGAAATTCACGAAATTGACGATATCGTGAACTTTATCGTGAACTTTTCACGATGAAATTGACGATATCGTGAATTTTATCGTGAAAAGTTCATGATATAAAGTTCACGATATCGTCAATTTTATCGTGTACTCTATCGTGTACTCTATCGTGTACTCTATCGTGTACTCTCCTGACGGGCGCTTCGTAAACAAAACCAGCCCTAGCTGGGGGAGACAGAGAGAAGGAAAAAAGGGAAAGGGAAAGAGAAGATAAAAGGAAAGAAAGAATAATAAGAAGAAAAGAGGGAAACGGGGGGGGGGCGAAGGGCTCTTGCCTCCTCCTCACTCCCCCCCCCCCGCCAAAAAATAAATAAGGAGAGAGAGAAGGGAAAGGGAAAGGGAAAGAAAATATAAAGGAAAGAAAGAAGAGGAAGAAGGAAAGAGGGAAACGGGGGAAGGGCGAAAGGCTCTTACCTCCCCCCCCCCCCCCGCCAAAAAAATAAATGAGAGAGAGAGAGAGAGAGAGAGAGAAGGGAAAGGGAAAGAAAGAAGAGGAATAAGAGGGAAACAGGGGAAGGGCGAAGGGCTCTTGCCTCCTCCCCCCCCCCCCCCGCCAAAAATAAATAAGAGAGAGAAGGGAAAGGGAAAGAAAATATAAAAGGAAAGAAAGAAGAGGAATAAGAAGGAAAGAGGGAAACGGGGGAAGGGCGAAGGGCTCTTGCCTCCTCCCTCCCCACCCCCTGCCAAAAAAATAAATAAGAGAAAAGGGAAAGGGAAAGGGAAAGAGAAGATAAAAGGAAAGAAAGAAGAGGAAGAAGAAGAAGAAAAGAGGGAAACGGGGGCGAAGGGCTCTTGCATCCCCCCGCCCAAAAATAAATAAGAGAGAGAGAGAGAGAGAAGGGAAAGGGAAAGAGAATAAAAAAGGAAAGGAAGAAGAATAAGAAGAAAAGAGGGGCTCTTGCCTCCTCCCCCCCTCCCGCGCCAACAAATAAATAGGAGAGAGAGAGAGAGAGATAGAGAGAAGGGAAAGGGAAAGGGAAAGAAAATATAAAAGGAAAGAAAGAAGAAGAAGAAGACGGAAAGAGGGAAACGGGGGAAGGGCGAAAGGCTCTTACCTCCCCCTCCCCCCTCCCGCCATAAAGGGAAAGAGAAGGGAGAGGGAAAGAAAATATAAAAGGAAAGAAAGAAGAGGAAAAAGAATAAGAAAAGAGGGAAACAGGGGCGAAGGGCTCGTGCCTCCTTTCTTTTCTTTCTTTTCCTTTCTTTCCTATTCTCCCTCTTTTTCGTTTTTCTCTTTCTTTCTTCTCTTTCCCTTTCCTTCTCTCTCACTCTCTTATTTATTTTTTGGCGGGGGGCGGGGGGACGAGGCAAAAGCCCTTTGCCCCCGTTTTCCTCTTTTTTTCTTCTTCCTCTTCTTTCTTTCCTTTTATCTTCTCTTTCCCTTTCCCTTTTTTCCTTCTCTCTGTCTCCCCCAGCTAGGGCTGGTTTTGTTTACGAAGCGCCCGTCAGGAGAGTACACGATAGAGTACACGATAGAGTACACGATAGAGTACACGATAGAGTACACGATAAAATTGACGATATCGTGAACTTTATATCGTGAACTTTTCACGATAAAATTCACGATATCGTCAATTTCATCGTGAAAAGTTCACGATAAAGTTCACGATATCGTCAATTTCGTGAATTTCTTCGTGAAAAATATGCGATAAAATTGACGATATCGTGAATTTTATCGCATATTTTTCACGATTTAGTCTATTCGCGATGTCCCTTCAGGGCCACCATAGAGTAGCACGCTACTTCTCTGAAAGCAAAATTAGGGACCATTTTGTCTGGTGAGAGCAAGGAAGCTGCTTTATCACTTTTAGATAGTGCTCATGACCTTCTGTCTCTCAGCATACAATTTAAAGGTAAAGACCAGTATTGGAAACGCCCCGATTTCAAAAAATGAAATGGAAGCTCTTATTACCGATCATGTGAAAGAATATGTTTTGACCAATACATGGTGATAAAAAATTTGCCGGGAAACCGCTTACTAATTCATATATTTGGTAAATTTGTTTCTCTCATGGTCTGTGAGAGATATAGGGTAGTCCCATATACATCTTTCTGTGTATAGTGCTTGTAACTTTACGAAGAATGGGCCAAACTTCTTATCATTTTGATGATTCCAGAACCTTGCAGATGCTAGATGCTAGATGATCATCCTTTTCTGTAATTCCACAACGTTTCTTTCACAATGCAATCGCATGACCATAACTGGTCTTTACCTTTAAGAATTTTCTATAATAAGGTAAAAATACAATTATGTCTGCTTTGAGTCATTAGAGCTTTAATTCAAATCACTTTACTTGTAGTTAGTGCACTTCAGACTCTCAGAACGCCATTTCAAAGGCAAATTTGATCATCCAACTTCAATTATTTATTCTTTGACATTCTTACACAGAGTGCCTCTAAAAGTATTAAATTTCTTAAATAGGGAATGCACATGTAAAGGTTAACTCTATTTTCCATCCTTAATAATGTTTTTCATTCTATCACAATGCAATAGAAACTGTCAACTCTTTACAGAATGCTAGATGCAGTATCATGTGTACCAAAGTAATGGTACAAACATCGATTTCAAACTCGTTTTTTCTATTTACTCCGATCTTGTACTTTTGTGACCTACATGTAGAAAGACACGTCGGTAGACCGACTTTGAATGCACGCTAGAGAGCGACAGAGTCCAAGGTTAAATACTGCTGAAGCCGTTAAGAAAATATCTCATAACTGAAGACATTACAGCTCAATATTATTGACATTCAACAATGAATTATTTCTATATACCTGACTTCAGCTAGTAGTGTTATTTTTCTCTCTCCCTCTTCTCTTTTGCTTTCTCTTGCATGCACTCTCCCAATCCATAATTAACCTGCTCTCACAAACAGGTATCATTTCCATTTGCTTGCAATAGACTTTTCAGTTTTCATTAGCAAAACTAACATTGTTAATTTTGCTGCTCTCCCTGAAGGTATTGCATCTATAACTTACATGTACTTCACTCTGTTCCGTTTAAGTGCATGTTTTCGATTTTGTTTATACTATGTTAATTTTAATTTTGTAACCTTGACTTTTATCATACATGTTTTAGAATTAATTTCTAAGCAAATAAAGAACATGAAATTAGCAAAAAAACAGCAATATTTTAAAAAAAAATTCTACAAAAGAAACAAAATAGGAAGATTTCAGTGTACCAGGGGTGCATGGAAAAAGAAAGATTTATAGCTGTACAGAATGTAGACAGAAGATATAAATAGAAAGATACAAGTTCATCAAGAAAAGGAAGAGGAAGATCTTAAAGCAAATGTTTGTTTTATACCTAGTACATGAACTTAAAGGTAAAGACCAGTATTGGAAACGCCCCAATTTCAAAAAATGAAATGGAAGCTCTCATTACCAATCATGTGAAAGAATATGTTTTGACTAATACATGATAACAAATTTGCCGGGAAACCGCCTAATAATTCATATATTTGGTAAATTTGTTTCTCTCAAGGTCTGTGAGAGATACAGGGTAGTCCCATATACATCTTTCTGTGTATAGTGCTTGTAACTTTACGAAGAATGGGCCAAATTTCTTATCATTTTGATGATTCCAGAACCTTGCAGATGCTAGATGCTAGATGATCAACCTTTTCTGATCGATTCCACAACGTTTCTTTCACAATGCAATCGCATGACCATAACTGGTCTTTACCTTTAATATTTAAAAATGTGAAGACAGAAGATAAAGTTTCACGGTTATTTATAAAGAGAATGTATTTGATCACTTATGCCAAGTTTGATTGTTGCAATTAGCCGAAGAGAATTGAAAACAAAAACACCACCACAGCTGAAATAGTGGGCAGTGATGTCAGAGCCTTGCAATAATAGCAATGGATGTTACATATCATTTTATTTTACTTTTAACTAAAAATTCAAAATATTGCATGCACTATGATAAAAAAAAAGAAAATCATTAAAGCATTCTTACCTGATGAATTCCTTCCGCAGATGAGATGCTCATAGGGCTGCAACATCCCCCAAAGCTCTGCCTCATTGGCTATCCCATAATCCAACACTGCCTGGGTCAGTTCTCCATCTGTCTTCTCAAAGTAGGGAGCACAGGCTCTGAAGAAGAGCTCCGACGTGAGCGCTTCCATCGATGCGGCCAGGTAGAGCGCGGCATGGTCATCCACACGTGACGATATCCTCGCTTCCACCAACCATCGGAAGAAACGACCGATCCGGAAGGTCAGTCCGGCCCGGGCCGTCTTCCCGCGTCGCATCTGCTCGCTGCTCATCTGGTACAGCGAGAGCGCCTTGACCGCCGCATTCATGCAGGCATCTGCCAACGAGGGCGACATGACAAGCTTGACCGCGGTCTGGATCTCATGCTTGGTGCATTTTGCGTAGACGATGCTCAGGCGTTTGACCTCTCGGACGACCCGGACGAACGGTCGCTGCATCAGGAAGGACAGCCTCTGGACGACACTCTGTGGGATACGATCCACTAACTGACATACCTTCTCACTGTTGCGCAAGACACGTCCTATCAACTGCTCATTCCAAGGAACCTTCTGTAGCTCAACCAGCCGACTATACCTCTCTGCGACATCAAACTCATCCGGAATACTGATATTAAGAGTATCAACACTCCCATGCTTTGAGCCGTCCCAATCAAGAGTTCCATTGCCGTAGTGACTGTGTGAGGAGGCAGAGTTTGTCCTGGAGTGTGTGGAATGACTCATACTGGTACTCATAGTGGCGCTAGAGGTGTTGGAGGTGGGGCTATCTATACTGGTTCGCTGGAAAGCGGTTGTAACGGTACCTAGGCCAGCCATAGGGAGGCATTTACAAGCCTCCTTCCAGAAATTAAAAGTCTTGGGGATTTTGTTTTGTGATGACTTAGTGAATTCTGTTGTTAAAGATATTCCACACTCACAGGCAGTTCTTTAGCTTTGTAGCTGAATGAAGTCACAGATCTTGCTTAAATTTACCTGCAAGACACAAAATAAATAAATGTTAGGATAAAAGACATGTACATATACATGAAGCAAGAACAATTTGGATTCAACATGTTTATAAATACATAACCAGGTATAGACAATCAACCAATCTTATAATATATCTTCTGTAGAGAGCTAGATGGGTGCTAACTCTGTTTTAAAAGACATGGACAGGTTAAACAAAATGTCATAATTATTAAATGAAATAATATCAAACAAGTTTCATAGAGACTCTGAAAACCTATATCCACAATAAAACCACAACTCGGCTCTGAATAGCATATAGCAAATAACAAACCCAATCGATACATAACCACTTCATTCAACTACAGCATCATATCAAAACAGAGCATTCAGTTTACTCTTATGAAAACACCGACATCCAAAACAAAAACCCATCACCCCATTGTCACTGCCCGCTCTTCAGAGCATTTGACGCCACAAATTTGACAGTAGAAGATGCAGCGCCAACATTTCAGTTTCATTGATGGCTGAGGGACAGCTGCAGGGATACATCAAAAAGATCTCTTCAGAAAATAAAATGAGTGACATCGATGAAGAATAAAGTCATAAGTTAGGGTTTATTAATGAATTGTTGGGATGTTATTATCTTGTTTAACATCGTTGAGAGAGCACTGTTTGATACCAGGTGGGGTATTGTCCGAGGGGTGTGATGATGCACCCCCTGGTGTTTTTATTTGACCAGGGGTTGGTATCTATCACGATCCACTTCCAGATATTAAACATGCATTCAAGATGCAACCTTATTTTCAATATGAAACATACAGAAATATTTTTATGTTTGACTGATTTTGATCATATGTAGGTTTAAGGTCATTAATTTCACAGGTACGATTGTGAATGCTTCATTCACAAACACAAAGATACCTGTCATTTCTGATAATCCTATTAAGTGAAAATATGATAACTCTTTGCAATGAAATGTCACTCAATCTAATCTTTCTTTCTTCAGGGGATTGACTCTAATGAAAGTATACACATACATGGGCTCTTAACTTTCAACTTCAGACCCAGAACATGAATTACAAACAGGGGCAAAAGCACAAGGACCTGGAAAATTTATATCAGGACCCGCTGAGAAAAAAAGCTAGAGTATTAAGTCCTCCACTTTTAATCTCAAATTAATTTTCTCAAATATGCTTTAGAAAGGGGTTATTTATTAATTTATTTCTATTATTTTGCACAGAAGAAAACTAGATGGAATTTTGACTGCGCGCAGTCGAAAATGATGCCTCCGCAATAGAGCAATTTAAACAAGTTTGGAGTTTAAATCTCCAGTGGTTCTTGAGATATCATGATAACAATCTCAATGTATGGAATTTCATAAGTTGACCTCTGTGACCCTTGACCTTTGACCTATGTGCTCCAAAATCTAATCAGATTGTCTTCCTATGGTGATACACACTATCATTAAGTTTGAAGTTTAAATCTCTAGTGGTTCTTGAGATATTATGATAACAATCTCAATGTATGGAATTTCATAAGTTGACCTCTGTGACCCTTGACCTTTGACCTACGTGCTCCAAAATCTAATCAGATTGTTTTCCTATAGTGATACACACTATCACTAAGTTTGAAGTTTAAATCTCCAGTGGTTCTTGAGATATCATGATAACAATCTCAATGTATGGAATTTCATAAGTTGACCTCTGTGACCCTTGACCTTTGACATACGTGCTTCAAAATCTAATCAGATTGTTTTCCTATAGTGATACACACTATCACTAAGTTTGAAGTTTAAATCTCCAGTGGTTCTTGAGATATCATGATAACAATCTCAATGTATGGAATTTCATAAGTTGACCTCTGTGACCCTTGACCTTTGACATACGTGCTCCAAAATCTAATCAGATCGTCTTCCTATGGTGATACATACTATCCTTAAGTTTGAAGTTTAAATCTCAAATGGTTCTTGAGATATCGCGCTAACAAACTCAATACAAGGAATTTCATAAGTTGACCTCTGTGACCTGTGACCTTTGACCTACGTACTCCAAAATCTAATCAGATCGTCTTCCTATGGTGATAAATACTATTCCTGAGTTTTAAGTTTAAATCTTAAATGGTTCTTGAGATATTGTGATAACGGTCAAACGGGACGGACGGACGGACGTACGGACGGACGGACGGACGTACGGACGGACGTACGGACGGACGTACGGACGGACAACCCGAAAACATGATGCCTCCGGCACCACCTTCGGTGGCGGAGGCATAAAAACATGAGATTCACCTACAGTATACCTGGTAAAGCCTCAACTCTTCCGTTTATTGGCTTCTGAACAAAATAATAGACAATGTACCCAAGCCAGTATAATGCAAGTTGTGAGTCCCTGAAACTTTATAGCTGGAAAATTTCAAGCAAAAATATAAGAGAACTGACTTCCCCAGAAGTAGAGTTAATGAGGCTTCACTACCTCTGTTAGATATGAATACAGAAAGCGTGTTTACAAGTTACAAAAACGGCATGCTTATTTCTGAAGCAAAGAGAAACGATAATCAATTCATAGCAGGTCAGTTTGATGAACATGTTATTATGGAAGCCTTTTAAAACCCAGAAATCATTTGAATCAATCCTACCCTGTTTGTGCCATGCATGAGTCGTATATGGGCAGCTGTTTGATAGGAACACAACATGTAGTTATCCTGTTTGTGACTGAAATCTGGATTAAAGGCTTTTTGTTATTTTTGTTCTTTTGTTTCTATTCATCTCTCTGCCTCCTATGTATTCATGCACTCTACTGATAGTCTGCTATCACAGACCATTGTCCTTAGTGCCTAACAGTGTCTGCACGGTGATACTAATACCCCATTCACAGTGGTTTTGAAATTTGTAGCGGCGTTGTAGCGGAGCGGCGACACCGACATAACACCGCTACAAATGCATTCACAGTAGAAAAGTTATCCCGCTGCAGCAGCGGGATAAATATCATGTACCCATTCACGCTGCAGCGGGTGATTTTTATTACCTCCGTAACAAACACGTGTATGCATGGCTCATGACCCCGATATGACCGGAAATACTTCAGCGCGGGGTTTTCGATTGCTTGAAATTGCGCGCGCTAGCTGTACTTTACACACTCTTCCTCATTTAGCTAGCTCGATTTGTCGCGGTGTTATAGCGGAGAGCCTTCACACTGAGTAAACACCGCGACAGCAGCGGGACTGTCCCGCTGCTGTAGCTAGGCGAACCTAGCGATAGTTTGTCGCGGCGCTATCGCGAGGCGGTGTTATCCCGCGATAGTTTATAATGGGTCCGAGCCTTCACACTGAAGACAACACCACGACAGCAGCGGGACAGTCCCGCTGCTGTCGCGGTGTTTGAGGCCACTGTGAATGGGGTATCAGATGACTGCATGGTCTAGGGCTCTGTATTTAAGCTGCTCCTGGAACAACCAGATACTGATCGACAGAGCTAGGCTCTGATCAAGGCATTATGGAAGTGTGTTTAAGAGTCAAATTAGAGTCTGTGTCTGCAGACTATTCTGTTGAAAACAAGAAGGGCTTTAACTCATATAAAACATAGATTCCATGCCTTTCTTGCATTCAGCTGGTCACCTGTGAGTTGCAGATGTTTCCTTCACCAGATTAAAGCTGCTGACTCTTCTCCATTCATAAGGCTGCTTAATTTGTTATATCCATGATCTAAAATTAACAGCAGCTGGATCAAGCCCCCCCCCCCCCCCGAACAAAAATAGACTTAATTTTGTATGTTGTTTGCTCTCTTTCTCTCTCCTTTTTTTTTCCTTCCACTCTCTCTTCTCTCTTTCTCTCTCTCTCTCTCTCGCTCTCTCTCCCTCTATCTCTTTCTCTCTCTCTCCCTCCATAAACCTGATTTACAATAACTTAAAATATTCAAAATCTTTCATTTTCTAGCATTCTCCTTTCTATCTATTAGGTTCTTTGTGTCTGTCGTTTCAACTCTCTGTGTCTTTCCTCACAATAATTCAATTCAATTAAAATCTTTATTTTGTCTAGCTTTCTTCTTTCTAACTCTCACATTGTGTGTGTGTGTGTGTGTGTGTGTTACTGTCTTTCTCTCCTAGTCTGTCTCTGTCTCCCTCTCTCTCTCTCTTTATCTTTCTCCCTCTCTTTCTATCTCTCCCCCTGTCCACACACAACATTTTCCGTGACTAATCATGATTAGCTATACCGTTTCGCGATAGTGATACCGTTTCGCGATAGTTTTACGACCAAAATTGTAGGTGTGGACGCTCACTAACGATACGTCGTATAACGAAACTAGTCTAACGAAACGCAGGTTTGGGCATTGTTTCGAACTGAAACTCAATAAAGAATCACGCCTAATCACGGAAATGTTGTGTGTGGACAGGGGGACCCCCTGGGGGAGTGTAACTAGTGTAACTAACTGGGCGGGGCTTAACGTGACCTCGAGCGAAATGAGACCAGACCTATTATCACTATCGCGAAACTCTATAAAGAATCACGGAAAATGTTGTGTGTGGACAGGGGGCATTTTATACGATGATTCTTTAGTGACGACGTTTCTTGTGTGTGGACATCCTGGAATTTATACGATGATTCTTTATACGACGTATCGTTATAGAGTTTCGCGATAAATTGTTTTGTGTGTGGACACGCTGTCTTTCTCTCTTGCTCCACCTTCCCCCTCTCTCTCTCTGTCTCTCCCTCTCTCTCTCTCTTTATCTTTCTCCCTCTCTTTCTATCTCTTTCTCTCTTGCTCCACCTTCCCCCTCTCTCTCTCTGTCTCTCCCTCGCTCTCTCTCTCTATCTCTCTGTCTCTCTGTCTCTCTCTCTCTCTCTCTCTCTGTCTCTCACTCTCTATCCTGCCC